AGCACACTGTTTAATCTCATTGATGGATTTTTCTTTGAAATTTGCCATCATTTGTACTGACATTCGTATGTCAGTGTGGAGATTTTTGCTGAAAACAAATTTAAAACCTTCTTCTTCCTCCATTCCGGTTTCATTTCTGTAACCAAAATAAGCTTGGAAGATTCTTTTGTAATAAACCTTTGGATGTTCATGCTTGCCTTGCGTGACCTTGTCTGCGGCTGGGAAACCAGCAGGTACCGTGCAGGGGTCGTACTCCCTGATTAAAGCTTCACACAGAAGGTTGTAATCCCTTCTCGTGGCATCAGGTTGACGCTCGATGAAGGTGAACACCTCTCTGTCCGAAGTGAGCCTTATCAGACTGATTTTATCCTCAACCGTAGCATTAGGATAACCACTCAGTCTGAATTCAAGGTCATTCAGATACGCTTTTGTTCCAGTTGAACCCATTGGGCCAGGTACAAAGCGTTGTACATATTTTGAGAGTTTTTGAAGATCATCTATTGAAAGAGGAAGTTTCAATGGTCTCTCTTGCCTGCTTGGTAGTGAAGACCTGTTCAGGTCTATCCCTGCTACTTTAGGTAAGGGTGGAGGTGTGTGTGATGTAAGGAGATTTGGGTCTGAAGCCCAGTGTGTCCCCACATTCTGTCCATGCCTCTCACCATATTTCCTTTCTGCATGGCAAAGTTGTGTTTTAAGCGCGTCTATCTCAGATTTGCATCCGCTCAGAGCATTTGATGCTTCTTGCAACTGTTGTTGTAAAGTATCGTTGTCTGAGCACAACTTTTGGTACTTGACCTCCCTTTCCTTCAATTTCTCCTCATATGAGTGAGCTTGTAAAGTAAGGTAATTTTGTGAGAGCTCCCTCTCACGTTTTAACTCCTGTGCACCGGTCTCTTCAGCAAGTTTAGACTGTGCCATGAATTTGAGATAAGCCTCTCTGTCGCTGTTTAACCTTATTGCAAGGTCATCAGCCTTGTCTACCACTGCATAGAATGATGCTTTCAGTAAGAGCGCCAATTTTGCCAGCTGATTATAACTTGAATTTGTTATATCTGTAGAGGTCACACTCTCTGCAACCACCTTCAGCTCGTCCAATAACTCTTTTGAGTTCATGCTGTCCACCTGTTCACCATATGGATGTAAGGATTCTGTGAGCAGCGTCAACGCTCGCTCCAACCAGTCCTTCATCTTACAAGGATCAAAATCCTTTTCTATCACACCTGCCATGGTTATTCACTGTTCAGCACTTATCTGGTTAAACAGTTGCCAACTTCAGATTATTTTAACAGGTAAATATTTGTATTCAAGTGTCATGTGAGTTTCACACACTTTTTAGCTCTGGGTTCACTCAACAGTACTGTGTAAGCCACTTCTTCAAATGACCGGGCACCTATTCGTAGGTTTTACCCCAATGCATGAATATTTTTAAGTAAATGCCTCCTTTTTGGCAGTGTTACTTAATGTGCTTAAATCAAAACAGATACAAGAACCAGGCCTTTCAGTGATATTTACTCTAAAGCACTTAACATTAAATAAACCTGCAATTTTTCTAAAAGTCTCACAGCAACTTTAGTTTTTTAAACACTTTTTAAGCAGTTTCATTTACCAGAATTCACTATTTAACAGTTACTCATTAAACCAGGTTGGGTGAAAAGAAAAAGTTATGAGGAGATAATCAGTCCCCTTTCAGGAAAACTGTTATACTCCTCTTTCAACAGCAGGTGGTGGTGTAAGCTTATTTTTACCAGCAGGAGTCTATGACAACTTCCTGTGGATCGTTCTGTTGATATCCGGTTGTTAGCCGCTTAGCTTAAAATTAGCATCAGCGAAACTTCGGTCAAATCAACATTTCTGAACGGATTTAAAGCTTAAACGTGGCAAAGTTTCAGCGATCAGGCTTTTAATAATTGGAACAGCGGTTCAGAACCAACTTTAAAGCGTTTTTCAACTTTAAACAACAGATTGAAATTCCCTATGAAGATGAGCTTCATTTCCGGGTCACGTGACTGAATCAACCAATGACAGAGCAGCAGCGGGTGTGGGTTCTACAACCTGACATCAGAGGAAGTGACGACAGACACGTCACTCGTCTCTCCAGCGAATCAGAGCGTTTCAAACAGCGGTTTTTGACCAATTGCTGCTCGTTATTTCAGCTATCGTGTTAGCGATTAGCCTGAACATTCCGGTCAACCTTCGTCATTAAAACTGTCAAAATGCACAATGTTCTGTTAAAAATGTGACGAATAAACTCTCAAAAGCGTACTGAGACGGCGCTCAGTTCAAAACAGCAGTTTATCCATGCAAACAACTCGTTCGAACAAATCAGAACTGAGCCGGAACAGAACTGGGTCTAAGCAGAACCCGTTCCTCTCTGTACCACAGTTTAAACATAATCAAACGCTTTCCACAGCTTATTAGCTCACAGATAACAGATGTACCATTTCAGCTTTTAATGAACACATTGACGTTATTTCAGCTATAAAAACACCACAACTGTAAACTTTCTCTGAACACCACAGCTGCAAAACGTTGCGTTTCACACAGCAATCTGCCCTCTTAAGCTAATTTCAGTTAAGATCAGATGTGCCAACATGATAAATTCAATTGTTACACGAATAACAGTCCATTTATGATACCGTACGAGGCCACCAGTATGTAATGAACATATATCTGTGAGATAAAATTCATAATTTAAACGGATTCTTTCATTTTTCTGGACTGAGTAATATCGTGCCTTGAATGATTAAATGTGACGTGAGACGTTAATTTTCTTTGACCCATCAAAATGAAAGTGGTCATTTATTAACAGAATCAAAATTTAACATCAAACATTTACATTAATTTGGCAAAATTGATTACAATAACAAGCTTAATTGATGAGCTTTACAATTAGAAAACCATACGGCCATGGTATCTCTTGCAGCTTTTAAACCAACAGACATTTCTGAAAATATCTGGATGATTACTGGCAGATAGAAGAGTTTTAAAGATGGGAAAATGAATTTAAATGGAGAGAGATGGGTGAGGGAATTTGTCTGTTATAACCAGAACAACACGCTCCTTTGGACCCAGCTTAACACACGGTACACTTCGCAGTTGAAGATCGACTTTTTACCTTTCTGAAGATATTTCAGTTCCGGCGTAAAGTTCCACTTCAAGCCACTTTTCAGCGTCTCCGTAAGAATAGCAAAGACCTCAGGAGTCGTGAGATCATTTCGTTCAACAGCAGCTCACCTCACGGGTGGACTCACATGAGTTGTGAGTCCGTCAGAGGTTCCACTCAGATGTGGAAGATTCCATAATCCCCACGAGACTCGGAACTTTGTTCTGCGTTCTGCGTTCCGAACTGCATTCTGCTTTCTGCGTAGTTCCCGTTGTTCTACTGGAACTAGGAAGTGTTGACCCTTTTAAAGAGGTCACTTCCGGCTCCTCATGAGAACTTCCTGATTGGTTGATAGAACCAATCAGGGGTGTGGTTTTAGTGACGTAAGAGGTCACTAGAAGTCAGAAAAACAATTTATTGTTTAGGAACAGATAGAGAGATGTTTTAAGAACAGACAGAAAGATGTTTTGAAGAAACAGAGACTTTTTGGAGCCAGTTCTCCTTCTGTCTATCTGAAAAAGTTAAACATGACATTTCTTTCCAATAAACATGTTTTTGACCGAAACTTGACTTCTGACCCACTTACTCCTTCTCATTTCAGACAGAGAATCAAAATGCATAATTACTCTTGTAACAAACATTAACTTGATTTCTACTTTGAATGAGGATTAAAAATCATTAATACTGTTTCACAGTTGATTTAAAATGAGTAGTTCACTTCAACATTTGAAATGGTTTGAACTAAACACACTTTTGATTATCAAGATATTGTAAAATAGTAATGATAATAAAAAAGAGAGTGTTCTTTCAATTGATCAGTGCAGGACACACTTAGAAAGTCTCTGGATGAACTTAATTTTGTGTTTCTGGACTCAAGTCAATGAAATAACAGTTCTTGTCCCAGGAAGGCCCTCAGGGCCAGATTTTGACCTGAGGCTTAGTTCACTACACTTGATACAGCACTCTGGGAACAGCCTGTTCGTTCAGCAATTTCTTTCTGTGTCTTACCCTCTTGCTTGAGGGTGTCAATGATGGCCTTCTGGACAGCAGTCAGGTCGGCAGTCTTACCCATGATTGCGGTTTTGAGTAATGAACAAGGCTGGGAGTTTTTAAAAGCCTCAGGAATCTTTTGCAGGTGTTTAGAGTAACGTCGTTGATTCAGATGGTTAGGTTAATAGCTTGTTTAGAGAACCTTTTCATGATATGCTAATTTTTTGGGACAGGCATTTTGGGTTTTCATGAGCTGTATGCCATAATCATCAGTATTAAAACAATTAAAGACCTGAAATATTTCAGTTGGTGTGCAATGAATCTGAAATATATGATAGTTTCATTTTTATCATTACATTATGGAAAATAATGACCTTTATCACAATATGCTATTTTTTTGAGAAGGACCTGTACATACCGAGCACTGCTGCTTAACTCATAAATTCATTTTCTTTACAAATGTGGCAACATAATGGGCAAAACTGCAACCTTCTTATTGTGAGGCGACAGCTCTGGCAACTGCACCGCCAAGGTGCCCAACATCAAGAAACTGCCCAGAGGACCTGACTTCACTTTGCTGGACTTAAAGGGAGAAGTGTTTAAAGATAATGGATCCATTCGTGTTGCTATTTTTCAGTCCATGTTTCTAAAGTATACCAACTCAGATTTGTTCTTTTTCTCTGCATTTCACTGAAGAAATTCTGATTTCATGAATCTTCTGAATAATGAACAGTTCCAGCTGCAAACATGGACCAAGGTTTTGTTCATGTCCTACACGTCCAAATGTCTGTTATGAAACATGCCTGGTACTACATGGTAGCACCAGGTAGTTTAGAACAGTGGTCATTTTTTTCTGTTCCTACTTGTTTGCTTTGCAACTAAAAACACTGTAGTCATAAAGAACTTGTCACTTTTCCTGCAGGTCTTGCTGAAAAGCAGCCGTATCGACGTTCTGCTCAGCCGACTGCTCTCTCACGGGCAACTTCTCTTCCTTAACCATCGCTTCTCCCAGAGCCTGGAGAAGGAGGTGGCAGCTTATGTAGCCAAATGAGTCAAAGTGGCTACGGGAGCTGTTTCCAAGAGGTTAAGCATCACCTACAGTCTGACTTCCAGTTCGAGATCAATACCTGCTAACTTCACCTGCTAGCTCCAGACCAACTCACAGGTTGTTTCTCTCCGTTTGGTGACATTTGTGTGCCTGGAGCAGAAGAACAGACTCACCACTGCCATTGGTGATTGCCTGATCTGTAAACACAAAGTGGGATATATCTCTGTCAGCCACTTGCAGCTCACCGCTGGCTGTTGACTGTGTGGGAGGCTTCACTTCAAATCGTGTTTGTCAAATTGAAGAGTGGAAAATGTGGCAGATTAAAGAGCGCAGCTGAAGAGGCCAGTTAAGACTCACTTGTCAGGATCAAAGTGTGCTACTTATCTAACTGAGCTTACAGATACTTGAAATGTCACAGTGTGGTCTGAAGGAGCCGTAATTGACCTGCTTTTTGTGTGTATATTTGGAGGATTCTTAAAGTACTCCTGAATCTTGAATCTTAGTGTGTTATAGCTTCATTGTGATTTCTAACAACGACCAAGAATAAAGCAGACTGCCTTTGGTGAGTTTTCATTGGTTTTTGTTTTTTCCCCACAAAAAATTATCATGTCACAAAAACAACAATAAAACAAAAAAGATCAATAGTAAATGTCAAGTCAAGTTAACTTTATAGAGCACATTTAAAACAACCTGTTATCAAAGTGCTTAACGACAACAATCAATGGGAGTAAAATTAAAGAGAAAAAAAAATATATATATACACAATACACTATTAATAATAACTGAAGAATTAATAAAAAGCATTTAAAACATAGGGTCACAGATTAAAACAACACTAGATCAATTTACACTGTATGAAATGCCTGAGAGAACAGATGTGTTTTTAGCAGAGATTTGAAGTGAGGAATGGAGGTGGCCTGCCTGATATTGGGGAGCAGGTTGTTCCAGAGTTTGGGGCCCATGACTGAAAAAGCCCGATCTCCTCTGAGCTTCAGTCTTGTTTTTGGAACAGCCAAAAGCAGCTGATCGGATGATCTCAGGGCCCGAGAGGGAACGTAAGGTTCCAGAAGCTCAGAGAGGTAAAGGGGTGCGAGGCCATTTAAGCATTTGAAGGTCAACAGAAGAATTTTAAAGACTATCCTCATACGAACAGGGAGCCAGTGAAGGGAGGACAGAACTGGTGTAATATGTTCAGACCTACGAGTTCCGGTTAAAAGCCGAGCTGCAGCATTCTGGACGAGCTGAAGACGTGAGATGGAGGTCTGGCTGATCCCAGCATACAGTGCATTGCAGTAGTCCAATCGGGTCGTGACAAAGGCGTGGACTAGTTTCTCAAGGTCAAGTCTGGACAATACTGGCTTGAGCTTAGCTACCTGTCTGAGTTGGAAGAAGCTTTTCTGCAGAACAGAGTTGATTTGTTTGTCAAACTTGAAGTCAGAGTCTTTTTTTTTTTTTCCCCCCTTGTCTTGTCCGGCATTGTGACACTTAGAATTATTGTCTTGAGTGTCAAAGTGATGCCCAACAGATTTACTTTCACAAGCAGAGCATTATGGCTGGCCTTAATGCTCCATTTGATATATAAATTAAATTTTATTAGAATATGCTTTGGGTTTGTTCCAGATGTAATGGACACGGGGACGGAAAACAAAGAAGATAACAAAGCAGAAAAGTGAGAGAAGAGTTAAAATATAAAGAAGGAGATAGGAATAGAGGAGAGAGAGAGGGATAAAGAGAACACAAATCAACATCACTGACGTCTGCCTCTAGACCTGCGGAAAGAGGAAAAAAAAAAACCCGACAAAACCAAGAAACCACAACAACAAACGACTTGTATAATGATAGTTATAACATCATTAGAAAGTATTTTGTACATTACATGGTAATACAATATGTATTTGATGGCCACCACAACCCAACTGAGTGTGTATCTGATAAACACCTGAATCTAAACACCTGTGTGAGCATGCGTATCACTATAAGGTTTCTCATAAAAATGTTCAATAGTGGATGTGGGGACCCAAAAACCCGTCCCCGTAGGACACGAAGGTAACACAGGGAAGCCCGGAACCACAGACACACAGCGGCCCCCAAGCCCGGAACTCCGGTAGTCCCCCAACAGGGACACCCGCACCCCCCAGAGAGAGAAGCAAAGGGAAGCCCCGGGTGATCCCCAGCAACCACAATGCAGAAACCCCCAGGAGGCCGTAGCGACGAGTCAACAGGCCCCGCCGGCAACCTGCCCCTCCAGAGTGGATCCGGCCATGGACACCAAGCCCCGAGGTCGTACCACCCCCAACAGAGGCCCGACAGAGCCAGAGCACCCAGGCCCCCGCAGGCAGCCACTAGGGCGGGCCTGCACACACCCCACCACCCAGCCCCAGCTGCTGAGAGCCGCCAATGCACCGGCGGCAGGGGGGCCCAACACCGGGGGGGAGCACGACCCACCAAATGGGGGGCCAAAACTGGTCCAATAGAGGGGGGCCACCCAAAACCCAACCTGAGACAAACAGGCACACAGAGACAGCCCGACAGAGCCTCTGTTGGGCCGTCCATGCGCCCCACTGGCCCAACAGTGACCGCAAGCTGGCCCCAGGCTGGGGGCCAGAGCAGCAGGGAGCAGCAGCCGAGGAAAACCGGCCCAGCGCACCACTGCATCCCTAAAGCCCCACACCACAGGCCCGGAGAAGCCCCGGCATGCCACCCATGCACACCCCCCCCCCACACACACACACAGCACCCCGCACCGTGAATGTCACATCATGGCATCAGCCAGCACTTCGTCGAAGTGAAGCCATGCCCCCGACCGCCGCCATGCACTACCAACGACCACACACACACAACCACAGCTGACCTCACACCAGAACCCGGCAGCCACCCCAGCCAAAGGGCTGGCCATCAGAACCAGGAACCCTGATAAAATGATCCAAACAATCCAGGGAGAACCGGAGCGCCAGCCCCACCCCCAATCGCCCCCAAAGGCCCAATACCCACCCACAGCCCAGACCCCAACCAGGCAGCCTACACCCCCCCCCCCCCCCCGCCCCCGACCCCAAATGTCAGACGGAGAATGAGGGTTTAAGAAAAGCTGTAGGACCCAACTCCTCCCTCCCCCCACTCAAATAAGATGTTGATGCATGTTGTTATATAGTGCGTTTAAAATGGGGGGGATGAGATGGCGACTGGCACAGACCCACCCCCCTCCCCAGAGAGCAGGCAGTGCCCGTTCACCCCCCCCCAACCCATGCCCAGAACCCTAAATGTCTACATGCTACATATGAGAGTGGGCACAGGTCCCAGAGGTGAGAATGATTACACATCCCACCCCCTATATGCCACCATGTGCCCACTCCAGACTCTATATGTGCATGTGTCTTGAGAATGTTATATACGAGTGTCTAGGTTGTTTGATAAAATTGGGGCCCAGGTCTCCATGAACCACGGAGATGGAGGATCCTCCCCGCAGCTCAGTAGTGCACCTGAACCCCAAGGCCCTGCTTGAGTGGTGGTGTGATGGAGTGGGTGGAGGAATACGTCGGAATGGGGAGGAACAACTGAGGTGGCAATGCCCTCCCAGGGGGCTAGCTCCCCCACTGACCCCAATAGGCACCCCCATTCTCCTTGATCCACCAGGGGAGGGAGGCTCCAGTGCATTCATCCAGGAGCAGGAGGCAGCCGCACCACCAGGGACCCAGGCCATGGACTGGCACATAGCCCCGAGGACCGACCAGAACCCGGGCCAGCGACCCAAGCCTCCCTGAGATCATCCAGACCCCCAACCCGATCCCCAGCTCAACACCCAGCCCCCCAACCAAAGAAGCCACCAAACTCCAGCAGCGACAATCAGCCAGGAGTGCCTGAACAGCCGCAGACAGCGCACCACGATGACCAAGAGCGCACCCCCACCCCCACAAAAGGACCGACCAGTCCACCACAGCAACACCCACAATGAGAGCACCCCATGCAAGGGAGGGCACACGCCTAACACGCCCAGACACCCCCGGGCCAGCAGTGCAGAGCCACCTGAGCAAAAGCCCCCCCACCCACAGCCTCCCACAGCCCAGAACCCCAGCCAAGCACCAGACCGCAGCCACAGCCAGGCAGGAAGACATCCAGGCTGAGTCCACCCGTCCCCCCCCTCCCTCACGGCAGAGGCCCCAAAGCCCACCAGCTCACCAAGGGCCCCCAGGCCAGGGCCGGGCGCCGGCGCATGCACCGGCCCAAACCCTGACAACATACCCGCCAAGACCCGAGACCCCCGGATCAAGCCGGGACCCCAGCCCGGGAGCGACACTCCCCCAGAACCCCGAACCCGCGTCCACCCCAAACCCACCCAGGAACAGCCAGGCCACCAGGCCAGCAACCTGCGCCCACCGGCACAGACCGCCCAGAGGCCTGCAAGCAGCCAGCAGAGGTCAACGCCCAGAACTACCAAAGCCATCTCCCCAGTTGAGCACCATTGCCCCGGGCCCACGACCCCCCCATGCCCCCAGCCCCGATACGCCCACACATCAACCACAATGCCCCACGGGACAAAATCAAAGGGGTTTACCCACCTCCACTACAGGTTGAAGCCAATCAAAGAAGCCCAGAGAGATTGTTCTGATGTGGAGGTACAGGCTATGTCAAGACTGATGTAATCTAACAGAAGGTCTTTATACTGTTTAATACTAAGAGTATTTTTATTTTTCCAATTTATGAGTATAGTTTTTTTTGCTATACATAAAGCAGTAAAAATCATGTGAATTGACTTTGTCTCCAAGGTGACATCATCTAAGTGGCCCAATAAGCAAACTGACGGAGAGAGTGGAATATTACATCTCAGACACTTTGATAAGTCTTCACATATCCGGCACCAAAACCTCTGAACAGGTGGACAGAACCAAAATGCGTGGATGTGATTTTCAGGAATATTGTCTGTACACTGTGAGCAAACATTAGATGATGCGAAACCCATCCTGAACATCCGT